CGACTCTCCGATCCCCTTTCTTCCTTTCCCTCCTTTTTGTCTCCCTTACTCTTTTGCCGCCCTACTGCCTATGCACCAATCCACCGCATCCATTGGTGCTCCATCATCATCCTTCTGACCAACGTCGCTTTCGTTTTTGTTATGCGCTCTTGATGCCTTGTCCTCTGCCGACCTCGGGGTCCTCTGGCGGAAATTCGCCACAACCCTGATGGTTGTGCAGTGCTTTCGAATTCTCTCGCGAGTCCCCTCAAAAGCATTTCTCTTGTCCACCTCTTAACCCTCGGCATGCCTCTCATGCGCATTTCCTTCTTCTCCCTCACAGTGCTCTACTTGTGGCATTTATGAACTTCCTCACCATTCTGATGCATCCTCGTACTCGTCGTCACTCTCGCTTCCTTCGTCTCCTTCACTCTCTGCAGCTGTTTCATAGCCTGTTTGATCGTCTCCCTCCTCACCTTCGTCTGGCTCCTCTCCTTTTTGGTCTTCTCCTCGATATGCTTTTGCTGTTGTTTGTCTACCGAATTGTTGTCCTTTGTTGTTTTCCGTTGTTTCTGCTGTTGCTTGGACCGGTGCCTTCCCTTGTTGTAGATCACTGCCTTTAGCCACTTTAGCTGTGGCGGTTTGAAGCTTCCCCTTCGCTGCATCAGTTTCTTGCAGCTCTTTTGCTGCTGCTGGGTCGCTTTTGAGCATACCTTCTAATTTTGATATAACCGCCAGTTTAAACAGCTTCTCGCTAGCAATAACATACTCATGCAATGCATCCAAAAGAGAGGAAAAGCCTACTGCTTTTCCTGCTACAGTTACTGCATACTCCAGCTGATTCTTGAGTTTGTCTGCCAGTTGGCGCTCCGCAGGTTGCATGCTCGTGTCAGCTGCTATCACCGCTAATGCAGTCGTTTTGGTCGTTTCAGCATTTGCTACAATTCCCTTCAGCAATGCCAGAATTTCCACTTCCGCATTCAGCTCCAACATAGCCTTGAAGTGGTCCACGACTGCTATTGCGTCGTCTCCCAGTGCATCTGCAGATTCGAGCACAACGCTAGGCGTGTTCTCCATCTGAGCCATAAGTTCATGGATGGCCTTGCCCTTCACCTTCGTATTGTCTAGCACAGATTTGAGTCGCTTCCCAACGTTTTCCAACAACCATTTAGGCACCCATTGGAGTTCCTTTAGCCCTGACAGTTGCATCTCTACCTTGTGTCCCACCTCCCGCACTTGCTGCTCCATTCCTGCGACTGCTTCAGCAATGGGTTTCATCGCTGTTGTCAAGCCCATAATATTCTTCCCAGTAGACACAAAATCCGGCAGACGTAGCAGTACCTTCAAAATTTGGCTGGGGCCAACCCGTGCTTGCCTAGGCAAAAATTCAAACAGTCCAGAGAGTAGGTCCTTGAAAATCGTTGCTGCATGTACTCCTGCCATCTCTGCTTCTTCCGCTGCCACCATGGCGTCAACCACGCTTGTCTCGCCCTTCAACAACTGCAGTTTCTGCTGCGCCGATACTAGCGCCTCTTGCCCACTCTTATACATCTGATCCCACTCCCCCAACAGCTGTACTTCTTCAGGTGACATTGCTCGTGTCTTTTCCACCAAGTGTGCAACCTGCAGCATCACGGCAGAAATTTTCTCCTGAGTTCCTAGATGTTTTGTTTGATATTCTAGTTCCACTAGTTGACTGTTCTTGGACAGCTTAAGGGGAATCTGCTGCAGCTGTTTTGCTGCTTCCATCGCTGCTTCTTGCCTTTCCGCACAACCACGGATGGTTTCCACTGCAAACCGCATAGCAGAAAGGCCCAAGGCCGAAGGCAACACCATCCTCTGCGACTGTGAAGATACGTCTTTGCTCTTTTCTAGAATTCCAACTCCATCTTCTCGCAGGAAGCCTATGGTGGTGTCGCAGACGTCCACAGCTCGGGAGCAGGCAACCTCCAAAAAACGTGGCACTTCGGTAGGTGTTTCGAAGGTTGGTCCATAACCTGCATCGGCTGTACCCTGTGCCTCGGGGAATTCAACTAGTGTGCGTGCATCTGCGGCTAAAACATCCCTTGCAATCATCTGAACATCCGCAAATGCCAATGCTGCTCCCTTGTTCGCAGCAGCGAGCGCAGCCACCGCTGCAGGTTCCCCGGCCACAGCATCCGACTGGTACTCCACCGCAGTTTCTAAATGCTTCTTCAGCTTCTCCAGCAGCACAGTGGATTCCGGTTTATTTAGGGAGGCAGCTAAAGAAGCAGCAGGGGAAACGCAGCGTTGCAGCCGCCGCAACAGCGCCACCTGAGCCGTACCACTCTCCTCGTCAAATTCGTCTTCTCCTCCCTCGTATTGATATTTCTCTTCTCCTCCCTCTTGTTCTGCTTCTCCTCCTTCCTCTTCCTCTTCCTCTGCTTCCGCCTTTTCCTTTTCCGTTTCTTCTTTCTCTTCGTCTTCACCTTGCTCCTTAGCTTTTTTCTCGGTTTTGCCTTTTTCTTGCTCTTGCGTACCTTCCTGTTGTTCTTCTTCTTGTCGTAAGTGTTCCGGTGCCGGTTTCTCCTCTCTTCCCGCCCTTGACACCTCTTCAGCCTTGGACTTTCGACCGGCAGCAGCAAACATGCTTGCTGTAACAAAAACTGCGAGCAACACGACGGCCGCAGCAGAACCAAGTGTGTGCCACCCAAACTTCTTCCCTGAACCACGAATCCATTCCGCATTAACAGGCCCCAGGCCTTGACTCAATACCTGCTGCAACGCTCCTTCACCATCTCCTCCATCTCTTGCAGCAGTAGTAGCTGCTGCTGCTTCCGGGCTTGACACATCATGAGCTTCCTCTACTTCCAAGCTCTCCCCAAGCAAATTGACATGTTGAGAAGCTGCTGAACCACTGCAACGGCAAACGAAGGCGAGGAACAACAGCAGGGACAAGAAGACCGGAGGTTTTGTGGTCCTTCCCAGAAACTGCACCATAATAGGCGCGGCCGATCTTTTAATGGGTTTTTGTTTGCACATCATACCCACGGATTTAATTAGGCTCTAAGGAGGAAAAGGGACGACCGGAAGAAGGGTCCTGCGTCGAGCATTCCGGAGTTGCCCGGCATCGCCGGCTAAATTGCAAACCGGCACAAAATTGGGAAAAGGCTGAATGCAACTTATGAATATTAAAAAACACTAGTGTTTCTGCTTGTTAAAAACTAGCCTTAATGGAGAAATACAGGCAACAGTGAGCGAACCGAGCCTCCCACATGGCGCTCGAAGAACCACTCGGCCGCAACATTGCTGCCGCCAATGAGCCGATGAGGCTGGTTTCCATCCCACTGACTGGTGTTGACAGTTTCTCACAGAACCCCTATAACAGATTAAGAGCATATACTATGTATTATTATTGAATTTTAATTGTGTGCATACGATCCCCCTTGTCGATTAGTATCGGCAAAGGGTTTGCAGTTCAGTTAGGATGGCAGCAAAACTACAACTCACTCCCTCAGTCTGCCGGTCTCGTCGACTAGACCATTTGCCCCTCTGCTGCCTGTCTACCTGCGGAAGCACGGATACCTCTCCTAGCTTCCTGTGCGTCCGTTTCTCCCTCTGTGCTGTCATCTCATATCCCTCACTAAACGTGCGGGTTCTGCTTCACGAAAGCTACACGCAACATGTCCTTGCCAGCGCGCGACCCTGCACTACCCTGGAACCTGCTTCCCATCTCCCGTTTCCCGTCTCTTATTCTTTGTCTTCATCTCCTAAGAGGAGAAATACAATCTGAATACATCTGAACTCCTTCCCTGCGTACGTGTTCCCATCTAGCATGGTACCCCCTTACCTTCACTTACACCTATGCAACAACTCCTGTCTTCCTCGCTATAATGTTAAGGAGACTGCGCCTCGCACTGTCGACTCTCTGATCCCCTTTCTTCCTTTCCCTCCTTTTTGTCTCCCTTACACTTTTGCCGCCCTACTGCCTATGCATGAACCAAATCGTCCACCAATCCACCGCATCCATTGGTGCTCCATCATCATCCTTCTGATCAACGTCGCTTTCGTTTTTGTTATGCGCTCTTGATGCCTTGTCCTCTGCCGACCTCGGGGTCCTCTGGCGGAAATTCGCCACCCACAACCCTGATGGTTGTGCAGTGCTTTCGAATTCTCTCGCGAGTCCCCTCAAAAGCATTTCTCTCGTCCACCTCTTAACCCTCGGCATGCCTCTCATGCGCATTTCCTTCTTCTCCCTCACAGTGCTCTACTTGTGGCATTTATGAACTTCCTCACCATTCTGATGCATCCTCGTACTCGTCGTCACTCTCGCTTCCTTCGTCCCCTTCACTCTCTGCAGCTGTTTCATAGCCTGTTTGATCGTCTCCCTCCTCACCTTCGTCTGGCTCCTCTCCTTTTTGGTCTTCTCCTCGATATGCTTTTGCTGTTGTTTGTCTACCGAATTGTTGTCCTTTGTTGTTTTCCGTTGTTGCTGCTGTTGCTTGGA